AGTATATAACAAAGTTTTTTTTATAATTTTGTTAATTTTAGAATAAACCTTATAAATTAATAAAAATGTAAAAAAAAAAAAATTTTATCCGACGATGAGATTCAAAGGTACTCAAAGTAGTGATACCTATGAAATCTCTAGGTGAGAAGATTTTTTTAAATACTACTAGTGTATTGGAGTCTTTATAAAATGTTTTTAATATAATAAAAAAAATTTCTATTAATAATAAATAAAATTAACAAATTTATTGAAAAATTAAGTGATAAAGGAATAGTAATAAAAAATAAGATAAAAGGAAATTTTATCCAATGATGGGATTCTAAAAGTATTTCGAGTAGTGATGCTTTACGAAATCCCTAGATAAGAAGATTTCTTTAAATATTACCAGTGTATTGAAATATTTATAAAAAAACTTTAATATAATAAAAATTCCTCTTTTCTTCTTTTTTTAAATAAAAAATCAAATAAAAAAATTAATAAAATTTCTTAAAAAAAGAGAATAAAATGTGTGCATCAACATGGTAACATTTTGCATTGCATATATGACAGCTTTTTTTACGAAAAGTAAATTTAAGCCTCCAAGGATGGGGTTTTAAGGTATTTCAAGAAATGATGCCTAAGAAATCTTTAAGTGAGAAAAGGTTCTTCTATTGTTACCAATGTACTGAAATATTTCAAGAATTATTTCGATAAAAAGGTTCTAATTTATTTTTCTTGAATAAAATTTGAGCACTAAAAAAAATTTTTTTTTCCAACAAATGAAAAAAAATCAAAAAAATTATTTTTAAACACTGAAAATAAGATTGTTTTTACCAAAATCAATGGATAACACATAGTTAATCGGTACCGTTTTAAACAAGCATTGTGGGGATACTAATCTTTCCCCACGCATAACCGACTCTCGAACCCAGACTGTTTCGCAGACCATAAAATTATCTTTTTAATAAACTTTAAAATCTTATTAAAATGATAAATTTTAATAGGTGGTCAATCGCACCTAGCCAAAAAATATTGGTGACAACTCTATTTTTCGTTATTTTTTATTTCATTTTTAAATTCGTCGGACGGACACAAAATCGTTACGACAAAGGTAAGAGTGGAGTAGGTTTGTTAAGTAAGATGAGAGTTAAAAGTGTGTGGAAATTGTTTGAATGAAAAGAAAGAGGATGGTGCGGATTGAAGAAAAAGAAGGAGGTGAAGGAGGATTGGAGATGTCGGAGGCAGATTCAAGGTTATGGTGATTTTTTGAGTAAAAATATTATTTGAGAAAAATTGAATATTGAAGTAAAAAAAAAAAAAAAGAGGTGAAGTATTATGGAGATCCATGGGTTTTATGGTGGCTGTGAAAGAAAATTAAATTTGGAAGCAAAAGTGAGTATGGAAATTGTATTCCATCCAAAAAAACAAATCAATTTTTGCATCTCTTTGTTGATTTTTTTTGTTGACTCAATTATTTTCAATTGACCAAACTATTTTTCCCTACCAAATACAAGAAAATGAAGAAAATATCTTCTGGAAGTCATTTTCATCGTTACCAAATGGAGTATTAAATAGCTTAAGTGTAAAATATTAAACATGTTTGGTTAAATTTGGCTGGCACGCTTCATTTGTGCAAAAAAAGTAGCGATTTTAGTATTTTTTTTTGTACTTTTTGTGTCATTGAATGACAAAATTAAAAACATGATAATATATTTATGATTTAGTACCTTAGATAGCTTGATTGCATTATATTAAAATTGTTCGATGGTTGAATTTGACTACTACCCTTGATTTGTGTGAAAAAATTAGTGATTTTTTTTTTCATACTTCTTGTGCTACTAAAGAGCCAAATTATAAATTTGGTCATATATTATTAGTAACTTAGATAGCTTATGTCAAACATGTCCGAATGGTTAAACTTAACTTACACGCTTCGTATGAGTTTAGAAAGTTAGTGATTTTAGTGTTTTTTGTCATTTTCATGCGGTTGAAGGATAAAATTATAAATCCAATCATATATTTATGATTTAGTGCCTTAGATGGCTCGACTACATTATATTAAAATTGAACGAATGGTTAAACTTCGCCACCATGCATAATTTGTTTGAAAAAGTAGTAGTTTTATTGTTTTACATACTCTTCATGCCATTGAAGAGTAAAATTGTAAATTTGATCATACATTTCTAATTTAATGATTTATATAACTCGAATGTATGATATTAAACTTGTTCTAATGATTAAATTTGGCTATCACATTTCATTTATGTGAAAAGTTAACAGATGTACTATTTTTAGCACTAAAATCATGCTCGATTAAATTCATTATTAAATTACAATGATTTCCTTTTGCTTTTTATTAATTTGCAGGAAGAGGAAAGTGGTGAAAAAGTCAGATGTGTAAAACTTTTCAAAGAACTCACACGAATAATGACAAATCTTATTTGCAATGACGAATTCAAGGTGGGGGCAATTGCCCCTCTAGAATCCTAAAAATTAAATATTGTCATTAGTAAAATACCTAAAATTTGAACGATTTTTGTATTTTGCCTCACCAAAATTTCAAAAATAAATAAAATTATTAGATAGAAATCCAAAATGTTTAATTTTTTTGGTTTTTGCCCTCACTAAATTATAAAAAAAAAAAACATTTAAATGTGTTTTTTTATAATATTGATAGGTAAAAATATATTAACAAAATGAAAAAAGATAATTGAGTAAAGTAATTATTCAAAATGTAAATATAAAATTATTATTGGTAGCTCATATAATAACTTCTCTTGATATTAGTTGAAATTAACTCCAAAAAAATTTTCAAAAAGTTAAGAAGATTCTAAATATGAAAATTATAATAAAAAAGGTAAGAGAATTACTTTTTAAGAATCAAACAATTAAGGAAAAGGAAAGAAAAAAACAAACTTGTTGAAAAAAAATGAAAAAGAAAATTCATTCAATGTAAATACCAAAATAAGATTTTTACTCAAAAAAAATAAATATACACTTTTTAAGATTTTATCCATGTTAGTTAGATCAAGTAAGCTTTATTTGATAATTTGAATTTTTTGGTTAAGTTGTTAGATTTAGATTAATTTTGATAGCATGAAATAAAGATTTAATACTTTATAAAGTTATTATAGAATTTTTTTATTTTTGGAAGTTATATGACATTTAATTATTGCTTGTAGAAAGTATTGATTTAATTATGACATCTTAAAAGTGAATTTGGATGATATTTCTTTGAACTTTGGATTAAAAATTGTCGAAAAAAAAGTATATATGAAAGCTTGCAAAGAGTTTTTTTATATAAAAATGACTTTCTATGTCTTTTTAATTTTTATATAAATTTTTTTATTTTATATTTCTAGAAGTATTTGATTTATATGTTAATGACACAAAATTTATTTTAAGTTATAATAATTTTAATAAAATAATGTAAACAAATATTACTTAAAAATTTACCCCAACTGAGTATAAATCATGAACACGTCCCTACTTATTTGAATGCAAAAACTCAAGAAATTATTGTCAAATTTTTCACTATTTATTGGAAAAATAATTAAATTTTCTAATGAAAATATAATATGAATTAATTAACTTGATAGGTTTATTTAATTGATTTATAGTGGAAAGTGAAAGAGAAACTGGTTAAGTATGAAGCATCATCTTTTGCATCTTTAACCAATATTCATGAAGTGGAAGATCAAATTTTCACTGAAATTACTAAAAAAGAAAGACATGAATGGGTTTGAGCCCTTGGAATGGGTCCAACAAACTACTATGAACATAATCCTTAGCAATTCAACTTCTGTTAGGATCACTCTTCAAAAGAAGTCTTCAATTTGTAAGAGATTGCAATCCATGCAGGCATTAATCAAGCAAATGGAGGCAAAGAAAGAAGCAGAGCCTGAATGGAAAAGGAGCATGCTTGATGCCATGAACAGTTCAAAACTCCTATAAATTTTGTGCAACAATAGTTTTTAAAAAACAGTCTAGATCCATTAACTCAGTCATCTCATGTATAAGATTTAATAAGCATTTTTATTTTTTATTTTTATAACTTGCTATTAAGCATGTTAAATAAATGTTTTAACTTTTTATTAGTAGATTCATGAACAGTGAACTTGTGCAAATAATCATTCTTGTAATTCTAGTGTTCCAACTCTCGATAATCATTAATTTTATACTTGTAAAATTCATTATTTTAAGTAATTTGAAAATAAGTTAAATTTCATTGTATATTACTTGTTAACTTATTCAAACAATTGATATATTTTTATATTTTATGATATTTAATTAATGAAATTAAATTAAATTTTATATGTTTCAATAATATGTTTCGATGTTGAATGTCATTGAAAAAAATTAAAAAAATCCAAAATGTTATTTTTTTCAGCTAAATTGATATTTATAAAAAAAAATTAATATTTGAAGGCTAAACATATATATATATAGCAACAATTATGAAAAAAATATCATTATATGATACACCAATTAATGATGTTTGTGCCCAAAAAACTTATTAAGTGGAGTTATTTAACAACATTTTGTATGCAAAGCTGCTCTATATATATAAATGGTGGCTCTTGCATTTGCTAAATATATTATGCTACAAATATTGCTAAATACATAAAAATCTCACCATTTAAACTATATATCAAAATGTTTATGAAACTCTGTTAAGTACGTAAAAATCTCACCATCTTAAACTATATATTAAGACGTTTATGAAATACCGCTAAATATAAAACAAACATTGCTAAGCAAGGTGGTATTTTCCAAAACAAAAAACATTGCTAAAATTTTCAATTGTGAATAGCATATGTTTTTTGTAGTGTTTTTTGTGGATATACCATTAACCTTTTAGCAGCATTTATAAATACAGCAAAATGATTTTAAAAAATGCTACAAAAAACTTAATTTCCTATAGTGCGCTTAAAAGTGGAGTTAAACAATCCAAACTTTATGTAGCAATTGTAATTGTATGTCTTTAAGAAAGTTAAGGTTAAAAGATGCCAATTCCCCTTCTTTATTCTTCAATTTTTGCAATGTATTTTCAGAAAGGAATATGCATTCTTTGGTAACTTTGAATAAAATCAATCCTTCATAACCAGTGAACCAGCGGCACCAATTAAACAAAGTTTTGAATTCATAAATACAAAGTGATTGAAGTCATGATTGGAGGAGTAGCCTCAAATTTTGTTAAGTTTTGCAAGGAGAAAAACAGTGGCAGATGTGATAGCAGGGATAAATAAATCGTCATGGATTTTGGGGGCAGCATGTCTCTTGATGATCGTCGCAGTCAAAGGAATTCCAAGTAGGTAGAACAGTATGTCCTTGGCTCCAATTCCAGTAAATCCTGTTTCAATCAGCACTTCCTGGAGAATCTCTTGGAACTCTTCTTTTGACAGTTCTCTTTCCGCTGCTTCCTTGTATCTCTGCATCCATTTTCAATCACCATATTTTGTCAATAATATATGCGTTGTGTAATTGAGTCACAATATGGCGATCCATTAACCTTTTCAATACCAGTTTTTGTCACATATTGGTTATATTTTCTATTTAAGAAACCTTTTTTTTTTTTTTAATAAATAAGCTAGAAAGGGGGAATGAAAGGAACTTAGTGGAGGAACTCAAGGACTATACCCCATAGGCAAGCTCGAGCGTTGTAGTCTTTGGCACACTTAATTGCATGGTTCCAAGCTTTTTGTTGATTTGTCTGTCCAATATCATAGCAACACATTTAAAGATATTAAAAAATGGTAACACATATAAATCAATAATAAACATTTATAATGGAAACTAAGGCAAGATAAGATACTCGACGGTTTCGCATACTGCTCCGTAGAACTTAGCCGATGACCATTCTTTCTCCTCTTTAAAATAAGTTTTGTAGCATTTCTCTATTACCGAATCTATTTCTTTACTCTTTTTATTTCCTGCATCCATTAGTAATGAATATCATGCGCCTAATACACTTTTAATCATCATTTATATATATATATATATATATATATATATATAATTTCCAAATTTCATAAGCGGATTTTCACATGTGAATAGTTGATAATGAAAGTATTGAATACTTGAGATAAATCAAAAGGAATTTTAAATGTGCTTTTTTTTTCCCTAAAGCATAGCTTAGCTTATCATAATTAGGAATTCAGCAAATTACTTTATTTTATGTTTCTTTATCTAGTTGATATAACAGTGAGGGCAAACCCAGCTTCTTTTTTTTTTATTAACTACAATTTCAGAATTATAGAATAAGGGAGATTGAATACAATTGTCTGAGTAGAAGGATATGTTGTATGAAATTTACTAATGCAAACAACTAAAGTAGAAGAAAACAAATTTTAGACAAGACATTTTGGAAAGCTATTTTAAGGATAATAATTTCTCCGTTCAAGTGCAAATGGAATTTTAAAAACATTATCTCCAATACGAAGAGAATTGTGATTGCAGTTCAAGAATTTCTTAAATACACATGAATCGTAAATCAAATGATGAGTAAGAGAGAATAATTTGATTATTGAGAAAGTGAATGTAAAAGTGTGAAGAATTGAATGTTAATTGAAATATTTATAAGTTTGAAACAATGTTTAAAACCATGTCTTGAATAAATAATCATCACTTTTGGAATGAATCAACATATTCAACAAATTGAATTTTCAAATAGAGCACTCGGATGCCCGACCCATGATATTCGAATGCTCTAAAAATTTTATTCATAGAACAAATATCCTGCAGACCATTCAAATGCCCAGAGATGACATCTTGATGTTCTAGGCAAAATTTTTTATGTATGTCTTAAGCTTAATTATTTGAATGCTCTTCAACTACATTTTTTTATAGAACAAAAATCCTGCAAAGCATTCAAAGCCCCGAGATGGCATTTGGATGTTTATTTTTCATTCCAAAGATTATTTAACAACTTTCAAACAACATTTTTTCAACATTTGTGTACTGTATAATTTCTAAACTTTGTTTTGATGAAAACATTTTAAGATATCTTTAAAAATAATCATTTTTTGTAATATATACAACAGGACAAACACCTAACAACGAACAAAATATTCATGTAAAATCTCGTCACTTGTTTTATTACTAACACATGATGGTTAAAGTCCATCTTGCCTTATAACAAGTACCATTTGTATTCTAAGGACCCAATCAGTGCCAAAATTACATATCTAAGTGCTATCAACAAACCAATTTCAATAGTTGTTTTCATTTTATCCTACATATTTTCTATGCCATTTACAACAATCAACACTTTAATATAAAATAAGTTTGTATCCAAGTATCAAATTCCTAATTAAAAACATGTACTCCATTTATGAAGGTTACAGAAACTCAACAAAGAGGAAAAAAAAGACACAAACTTGCATGAAATTCTATATATGTACCAAAATAAATAGTTGATGTAAAAAATTTATTTGATTAAGAGGGAAAGAGAATACCAGAAGCTGATGTGTTTTGGCCCATCTTTTTCTTTCTTTGCAACGCTGTGATGAATTGGATTTGAGAGGTTTATTAGAACTAACATAGAGCTTTATAAGGATTTAGCATACCACAAAGGCAATGAAACTTGGCATCAGAGGAGAGTATATTGCATTGCAATGCCTAGGCATACGCAAAGCATTAGAAAAAGCTTCCATGAAAGGAAAAGGACCCTGACATAAAGTGCTTAGGTGGAAAATGTTCCAAAAAATTATGCTTTTGAGTTAAACTGAAACTATTGATAATTTTTTGTATGGAGGTGTCTAAAAATACAACACATACACATTGGTATTTCTTCTCTTTTTTTTTTTTTTAACTTGGAGAAGAGAGAATCCAAATACGACTGTTTAAGAAAAAGAAGAACCGTGCTTCAATCGATTGAAATAAATGCTCGCATTCCCTTTGGAATGTACCAAAAAACATAAACATGTTGGTATGGATATTTGAATTTGACAATAAGTTAACGAAAAGGGTAGCAAATTGGAAGAAACCATAATCTCTTCATAAATGATAGGACGCAGCAAAATTGAATTGAATCAAAGCAATATTCAAGATCTCGTGAGAAGTTTTTGACTAAAAGAAACTTGACCATCAACAAGCATATAAGTATTGGGCAACTGCTTATCATGTAAGCAGTTGACTTCAGACACTGTTGAAAGAATCCATGGGCTGCATGTCGGCTATTAATTATGCATGTAAATGACTACCACCGGCATCAAGTTTCTTACGCTTTTTTAACTGAGCAACCTTCCTTTGTACTCAAGCTTAATCGGCTCTCCTTGCTATAGGAGGGACCAAATTTTTTATAGATTAAGCACAGTCTACACGCAAGAAAGAATAGCTTTATATCAATATCAAAATTAAAAAAAGAATTCAGTTAAGCAAACACGGATTTAACTGCAATGATCTTGGGACGTTTGATTTAACAGGGAACTATAATAATGACATGCCAACATTCTACATAGGGTACAACTACTCCAAATTTATTTTTTAATATAATAACTTAAAGCATTTTATCATTATGATTGCAATTACAAAACAACATCTTACCACAAAACCCGTAATTTCAGTGAGCAGGAAAGACAAACACTCAAATCCATATATATATATATATAAATAAGTGTGAACTCCAAAAATGTTAATAGTGATTAACTTAAATACTCTTATAAATTTTTAAATTAACAAATTTATTTTTAAATATATAACTTTTATTAATTTATTTAAATTTAATTTAAATCAATTAGAATTAAAAATAGTGTTTATGTGAAACTAAATTACTAAAAATTTTAAAATTTTAATTCAAAAGTGTTAAAAAGTGATTGACTAAAGACTAAAATAGAATTAAAAGTGATTGATTAAAATACTCTTAATAAAATTTTAATTCAAAAAATGTTAAAAAAGTGATTGACTAAAATATCATTAGTAATTTTTTATAAATTTTAATTTAAATGACTTTTTTTATTATTAGACTATTTTTTTTATAAGTAATGATTTTCACATCAAATGAAAACATAAATATAATAAGAACAAAATTTAATCTGCAAAAGAATAAAACAATTATATGCAGTTTGTTTTTTTAGTTATTGTAAAAACAATTGTATATATAATTTATGTTGACAAATAAATTTATTAAAAATAATCATAATTAAGTTATTTAATCATATTTGTTTTTTTATTTTTTGTCTTTCAATTTTTTGTTTTAATATATTAACTATATATGTATATTAATAATTTTATTATTTATATATTTTACGAGTTGATCATTTGATTATTGATAACATAATTAATTTTTTTTAATCCCTTGAAATAATTCTTTAATATATCATTTTTACAGTTTAATCTAACTTCTATAATTAATTTTTCTTTTGTATTTTTTCCTCTAGAATTTTTAATTGTAATTCCCATGAACAAAAATAAAAATCAAATCAATTACACCCCCTCTACCAATAATTAGCACTATGTGATTAATTAGACTTTTTACATGTAGAATTAGATAATTTAGGAAGTGATGGAGCTACCAATAGCTTAGGATTAATCTAGTCAAGTTACCATAAGAATTGTCACCTTGATTAAAATAATAATTGATTTAATTTTATCTCAACTTTTATTTTAATATGCATATATATGATTAACTTATATCTCAAGATTATTTAATCTTTCTCAATTGTATTAAATTGCTCTTTTTTTGTCATCCAAGTAGTTGAACAACCTAATGTGAATTATTATAAGTAAAAAATTATTAAGCGAAGTAAAATTAATTGCTTTTAGTAAATTTTTTCAAGGTATGACAAAATTCATTGAAATTATTTTTTGAATGTGTTTATACAAAAGTTACATTAATTCATAAAAATTTATATTGTTAATACTAAAAATGAAATCGTAGATATTACATAACAAGTTTGTTAATTTTAGAATTAAATTTTTTTTACGAAAATTTAACAAGTACCAAAGTTAGAAATTTATTTTATTTTATTTTATTTTTCAAAATTATGTATTTTAATATTTTTATATAATAAAAATTTATATATAATAAAATTTTTTAAATAAAAGAAATTTTAAACTTTTGATTGATAGAATGTACAATTACATTCAATTGATAAAGGCATCAATGAAAATTATCTTAAATAGAAAAATGAGATGAAAGATTGATTGATTATATATAATTTCATCTTCTCCATATGACAAAGAAGGTTAGTGCTATATAATGTTTAAATGAAAAATATACAAATGTATTGATTTTAATTTTTTTTAGAATTAATATGAAACCTTTTTATTTGGAGAAACATTGTACACTTATTCATTTTTTTTTTATTTTATGTAAGTTTAAAAATATTAACTGTTTTATCAAAATTTTTATGGTTGTCATATTAGGTAATATTTGCTCAAAAAAATTAAAATTCACCAAATTAATTATCAATATTATTTTTAATATAAAAATATTATTGTAAAGTATAATTTAACTAAACTTAAAAGTGATTGAAGGCATTCATCAGCAAAATTCAATTGATAATTTTTTATTTAATTGTATATTTGGTTTTTCAATCATTTTAAATTTTAACTTTTCATAATTTTGAGTTGGATTTGACTTAGAATCAATGACCAATTAGCTTGAATCAAGTTTTATCATCTATTTTTATTCATACTATACTCCATTATTCACTTATACAATCAAAAAATTCTGATTCAATAATTGATATATACTTCCTTTTATTTAAAAAATTGGATTCAAATCATTCTAAATCTAAATAAAAAAAGAAATATATTCAATTATTTATAATTGTAATTATTTTCTTAATAAAAAAATATATTCAATAATGCATAAATCCATCTTTTCTATATTATATGTATATGTCATAATGTTTAAATCTAGAGATCTATCGCTAGACATTGACTTAAGGAGTCGCTACCAATCTTTTTTGTTTAAGTGCGATTGATCACCTAAGGAATCTATCCTTTCAAGAGACACGTAAGCTTGACTAAGGGTCCCTAAAAGAATAGGTTCATGTCTATTAACCAGAACAGGGTTCAGGAGTTCGGTTACATATGAGAAAGGTTATAGCACCCTCACAACGCCCATCGAAAGATGATACCAGCTTAATTTTATGTTATCTAATAAGCCTTAAAAATTTTACCAAGTAATTAATTTTTAAAAATTATTCTTAATTAATCCAAATACTTTTGGTAGAAAATTAAAAAATTCCCTCACCTCAAGAGTATGCAAGAAAATTACTGTTTCACTTGCAGAGACTCCATCGTCGGATTATTTAGCATAAAAAAATTTCAAGAAAAGAAAAAAAAGAAAAAAAATAATAATGATTCAACTTTTGATGTAAATCTTTTTCTTTTCATTTAAAAAAAAACTTATTACTTTTGTACAAGGAAAACTAATAGTTTCAATTTTTTCTTAAAGCATTTGAAAGTTTTTAATTTTTAAAGAAAATGATACTTTCAAGTTTTCCTTAAAATATTTTATTTTTTTGAAATTTTAATTTTAAAAAAAAATTGATACTTTCAACTTTTTCTTAAAATATTTTGTTTTATGAAATTTTAATTTCAAGGAAAATTGATACTTTCAACTTTTCCTCAAAAAAAAATTTTTTTTGAAATTGTTAATTTTAAGAAAATGATTACTTTCAATTTCCCCTAAAAAATATATTTTTAAACCTTTTTATTTTCAAGGAAAATTGATACTTTTAACTTTTCCTAAAAATATTTTTAGAAAACCTTTTTTATTTTTAGGGATAATGATACTTTCAACTTTTCCTTAAAATATTTTATTTTTTTGTAATTTTAATTTCAAGGAAAATTGATACTTTCAACTTTTCCTTAAAATATTTTGTTTTTTGAAATTTTAATTTCAAGAAAAATTGATACTTTCAACTTTTCCTCAAAATATTTTTTTTTGGAATTTTTATTTTAGGAAAATCACTAAAAAATAAAAATAAAATAAAATAAAATAAAGTTAAAATTAAAAAAATTAAAAAAATTAAAAAAATTAAAAAAATTAAAAAAATTTATGGAATACCCAAATAATTATAATTTAATAATAATAATAAAATAAACAGAAAAAAAAGAGAAAAAAAAAAACTTAAGGCCTTTCGGCTCGGTTGGAAAAATTAGCTCAGCTTAAGAGACAGAACACGGTTCAAAGGTGCGGCTCGGCTCAGCTCGGTTGCAGGGGTTGGCTGGCAATCGGGTCAGATACGGGTCAACACTAAGGTCAAGTCTGAACCAAACAAAAATGTATGGATCCTCTAGGCTGATTTAACGCTAAAACAACGTCATCTTGAGTAAGTATCAAAGGCAAAAAATCTCATTTTTTGGCCAGATGCTTCTCCCCTTCCTCTCTCTTCCCTCAGTTTTCTCTCCCTCTCTTTCTACCCACGAAAAACATCGGTGGGATTGCTCACCGATTTCTGGGTTTTTCCATCGAAAACTAGGTTTTTCATCGAAACAGTAGCTGAAAAACTTGAATTTCGTCAAAAAATTCAATGAAGTCTGAAAATCTTTCAGAAATTTTCAGAAAAAATAATGCCAAAAATTCTATAAAAAAATTCTCA